CGGGCCGGCGGTGGGCTCCCACTGCAGCGGCCGGTTCTCAAGGAGGGACTGAGCGGTCAGGTGTCCGTCGGGGGAGGTGGAGGGTGTTGGAGGGCGCCAGCCTGGGGCGCTGCTCCTTGGGAGACCCGGGTCTCCGGAAGACGGATAAGTGCCGGCTGAGGCAGGTTTGCAGGAGGCACTTAGGGACAGACAAAGTGTGAACTTCTGCAGACACACCGGGAGGGTGGGGCGTGCAGGTGGGGGGTGTGGGCCTTCAGTCAGGAGCAGGATCCGCCAGTGGGGCGCGGCTGGGTCTTGGGGAGTGGAGGCTGCTGGCTGGGAGTTGAGGTCAGCGGGATGGGGCCCTGGACCTCCTTCCCCAGTAGGGACGGAGGAGGATACGCGGTGAAGGGGGGGTGAAGGTGGGCTTCGGGTGAAGGTGGGGTGAAGGTGGGCTTCGGGGCCAGAAGAGGAAGTGCGCTGGGGAACGCACCCCCACTGTTAATCCCGCTCCCCCAGGGCTGGTTAAACTCGGGGTCCACTGCATCACGGGCCAGAAGGTCGCCATTAAGATCGTGAACCGGGAGAAGCTGTCCGAGTCGGTGCTGATGAAGGTGGGGCGCGTTGGGGCGCGTGCAGGGAGTGTGTGCGTGCTAGGTGGGGCCCCTGGGGCGCGCAGGCCAGGCTGACAGCGTGCACCCCGCAGGTGGAGCGGGAGATCGCCATCCTGAAGCTCATCGAACACCCCCACGTCCTCAAGCTGCACGACGTCTACGAGAACAAGAAATATTTGTAGGTATTTATAGACGCCCAGCCCCGCCATGCGCCCTCCCCGACTTCCTAGGGCAAGACCTTTCTGGAAACAGGAAATCGCGCTCTCCTGGCTGCCCACGCCCGCCGAGCCCCTTCCCTGGACACCCCACAGCGCCCTCCTCCCCAGCCCGCCCTGGACCCAAGGGCTGGGCCGCCCTCCGTGGGCAGCGGGCCTGCGCGCCCGCCTTCGGCCTTGGCCAGGGCAGTCGCTGAAGCAGCAGCTCAGCAGGCCAGTGCGCCGCAAAGACTCCCGCTCCCCCGCCCCCACTCTGGACCACTGGCGGCCTCCCAGCTTAGCCGTGACTGGGTACCCCAACAATGGGCCTCCTGAGACCGGATCTCAAAGTCGGTTACCCCGGGAAGGATGGGGGTGGGGGCCAGCTGTCCAGCCCAGACAATAGGCCTTTGTGCAGACTCTGGTGACCACGACACAGCTGGGCTGGACGGCAGGAGAGGGGACACCCCTCCCCCCGAACCGCACCCCGCCTCGCTTACACCCCCACAGGGCTGGGGCTCCCGGCCGGGACTCCCGCCGGGGCTCCCGGGAGTAGCTTGCCCAGGTGCGGCGGGCCCCTAGGCTCCAGCCCCCTGACCCGACCCAGCACCCCGAC